GTTAAACTTTGAAAGACATAGAAGCCTTAACTGGACCTTGTGGAAAAGGCCATATGTGTTAGAGAATAAATGAGTTTATATTAAGGTTTCTAATTTATGTAAGCACATGTATTGATCATTATAATAAAAATTATTTTTAAATAAATTTGCTGAGTATAAAACAGAAAAAAAAGAAATAATGTCTTTTGCAGTAACTTAATGGAACTGGAGACTATTATCCTGAGTGAAGTATCTCATGAATGGAAACCACACACCACTTGTTCTCACTAGTAATTGGGAGCTCAATGATGGCACACATGGGCATAGACTCGCAGGGGTCCACAAACTTTTTAAACAGGGGCCAGTTCACTGTCCCTCAGACCATTTGAGAGTATACTCTGTGGGCCTACGATGAGTCAGCTGCTAAGCAGGACAGGCAGCAGTGGCAAAACACCCAGTGGCCCAGATAAATGTCATTGACGGGTGGCATGTGGCCTGCAGGCTGTAGATTGACCAGTGGAACAGATGTGAGAATCCTGATATAAAACCATCCTCATATAGCCATCTAATCTTTGACAAAGCAGACAAAAACATACGCTGCGGAAAACAATCCCTTTTCAATAAATGGTTCTGGGAAAACTGGATAGCCACCTGTCGAAGGCTAATACAGGACCCACACCTTTCACCTCTCACAAAAATCAACTAATGCTGGATAACAGACTTAAACCTAAGGCATGAAATTATTAGAATTCTAGAGGAAAAAGTTGGAAACACTCTCCTAGACATCGGCCTAGGCAAAGAGTTTATGAAGAAGTCCCCAAAGGCAATCACAGCAGCAACAAAAATAAATAAATGGGACATGATCAAACTACAAAGCTTCTGCACAGCCAAAGAAATAGTCATGAAAGTAAACAGACAACCTACAGAATAGGAGAAAATTTTTGCATCCTACACATCCGATAAGGGATTGATAACTAGAATATACTTAGAACTCACAAATATCAGGAAGGAAAAATCAAATAACCCTATTAAAAAGTGGGCAAAGGACTTGAACAGAAACTTTTCTAAAGAAGACAGAAGAATGGCCAAAAAACATATGAAAAATTGCTCAATATCTCTAATCATCAGGAAAATGCAAACCAAAACCACAATGAGATATCACTTAACCCCAGTGAAAATGGCCTTTATCAAAAAGTCTCCAAACAATAAATTCTGGCATGAATGCGGAGAGAGAGGAACACTCCTACACTGCTGGTGGGACTGCAAACTAGTTCTTCTTCTGTGGAAAGCAATATGGAGATACCTTAAAGCGATACAAGTGAATCTACCATTTGATCCAGCAATCCCATTGCTGGGCATCTACCCAAAAGATCCAATGACACTCTACAAAAAAGACACTTGCACTCGAATGTTTATAGCAGCACAACCCATAATTGCAAGGCTGTGGAAACAGCCCAAGTGCCCTTCAATCCAAGAATGGATTAATAAAATATGGTATATGTATACCATGGAGTACTATTCAGCTCTAAGAAACAACGGTGACATAGCACATCTTATATTTTCCTGGTTAGAGCTGGAACCCATACTATTTAGTGAAGTTTCCCAAGAATGGAAAAACAAGCACCACATATACTCACCAGCAAATTGGTATTAACTGAGTAGCACCTAAGTGGACACATAGGTACTACAGTAATAGGGTATTGGGCAGGTGGGAAGGGGAGGGGGGCGAGTATATACATACATAATGAGTGAGATGTGCACCATCTGGGGGATGGTCATGATGGAGACTCAGACTTTTGGGGGGGGGGAAATGGGCATTTATTGAAACTTTAAAATCTGTACCCCCATAATATGCCGAAATAAAAAAAAATTTAAAAAGTTAAAGAAAAGGTATCCATAAAAAGGTATCCACAAAAACATTTACTCCCGTAATATTTTGAAATATCAAAAAGAAATATTAATAGTGGGTTATAGTGGGTGTTAACAACTGCGAAGGCTTGAGTTTTTGTCATACTACAAGCTAACTAGTTAGGCTCCCACAATTACGTGGAAGATGAAAGAATGTATGTCACTCTTCCTGGTCAGACACAAAGCATGACATTGTACTCACAGCAAGAGCAGTGGCCAGTGTCAGCATTTGTACCAGTTCCCCAAGCCTGAGTAAGATGTATTAAAGAGAAAAACCATAAAGTAAGGGACCCAAATCTTTTATGATATGTAGTAACCTGCCTGATCTCAAGGAGATATTATCTTTATTATTAAATATATTGGATAGTAAATGAACCCACTTTTTGTTTTGAAGGGAAATACTATCTGTATGTTCCAAGGCTGCTTGTTATAAAAACATTCTTTAAGAGATAGTCTGGAACAAAGGTAAAAAGTACCTCTACTTACAAGTTGTATAGAAATGCAACAGACCATGAAGAATTTTTGTTCAATAATATTTAACATTCCCTTCTTGTTATCTATACTGTCTTGGTATGTGGTGAATTATTTCATAAATATCCCACTCCATTGGCCACTATAATTAGTCTGACCAACAAAATCTAGAAACAAATTCATTTGTGTTTCCTTATATAGCACATAATTAAGGCTACTATCAATACAACTCCAAGCAGCAACAGGAAGTCAACCTGAAGTATTGACCTCAACCATGCCTCCCAGAGTCCTGAACACAAATGTCAAAGTTTGAACAAATGATTTAAACTTTCAGAGTCTACCTTAGAATGCTAGGTGGATTTCTCCAGATGATTTTGTACTGACTTTTACAGTGGCTTGAAACATTTGCCTAGGTACTGCAGGATGTACTAGAGATTTACACACTGCACACAATCCCACAAGGAGGAAGCCTAAGGGTGATTCTACCATTTAGAGCTGCCCCGGCCAGTGAGTTGAGGCTGACCTGAATGTCTTCCATGGCTGAGGTGGTGCCAGTGATCATTTTTGTTAAAGTCAGGGACTACCCAAGATTTCAAAGGGCATTTGGTTTTCATGTCTTCTTACTCTCCCTAAAAATGTAATGGTTTCCCAGTCTTTCCTTGTTTTTAATCCCCTTTAAATGTCTAAAGTATAGTATTCCATTTTTTGAGGATGCCTCTTAATTTGAGTTTGGTGGTTCTTTTCCCCATAACTATATTAAAGTTGTGCATTATTGTCTAGAATGCCATAAAAGTGACATCTTTCTCAGTGTATGATGTCAGGGTGAATATGATGTTAAAGTATTATTTTTGGTAATGCTAAATTTGATCACTTCGTTAAGATATTGAGTACAAGGTTTCTCTATTCTGTAATTATAATACTATTACTGTCTTTGTAATTAATAAATATTTATTTGGCTGGAGATACTTTGAGAATATGCACACATTCTTTTTTTTTTTTCTTTAACTTTTGCTCACCATTTTAATGAAGAGTGTTGGATTTTGCCTGCAGGAAATGTTGGTGTAGGGTTCTAATGGTGATTTTATATTTCCTTTATACATTTATTTATTGGAATTATTTTCTAAGGAAATTTTGTCCATTATCATCATTTATTATATTATTCAGCTATGTATTTATATAGGTGTAGAGTCATGGATATTTATTTTATTCTTTGGATTATAATCTAATACAATATACCATTAATTATAATGTTGCTAAAATCACTCTAGATTTGGCCATTGGGGATACTTTCAGGTTAGCTCTTGTGCCTTTCTGACATGTGCATCAGTACTTTTCCCTTCTTTCCACTCTTTGTTTCCCCTTTGCTACTCTCCTATTCTCAGCTATAGAATTTGATAGCATTAAACTTTCCCCCTTCAGCCACTTGGATTAAGCTAATCTAATAATCTCCCCTTTCTTTAATAGTTATTGGTTCAACCCATTTTTGTTCAATTAAAGGAGTGGAAGGATTTCTTTCTGATCTCTCAAAAGATACCCTCTATCTTCCCTCAGAATACACATTAGTATGTGATGTGTGAGAACACTATTTATACATGCCTAGTGTTTAGGCAAAGGAACATTTAGGACACTATAAGTGGGAAAACACTCTATGAAGCCTGATGATTTAACTGAAACATCAAAAGGCAAAACATTCAGATGTGAGATTGAGGGAGCCCTTCATGGGATCTAGGTCTTCCTTAAAGTCAATAAATGTATTTTCTATTTAAGCCAGATTGGGATTAATATTTCTTTGTCACTTGTAACTAAATCACTATTTCTTTAAATTATGCTTTTTCTGCATCTACCAATCCAGTTGCCATTTACATGACCAGTGACTAGAAAGGATGCACTGATCTTGGAATAATGATTTTATACTACCTGTCTTGCAGGTAATTTGTCAGCTCCAAATAGCTTCCAGTGTTCATCATGATTATATTGTTTCATTATATGTCTCTGCCTAAATATACAATTTAATAGCAGAATTTTTTGTTGTTATTTCCCTATATCATGGTCCACTACCATGCGATGGCTGACCAATGGATGACCTCCAGAGGAAACTTGAATAGCTATGTGCTATGTTCCTTTTGTCAAGGAGCAGAATAATGTATGTACAAATAGGCAATGGGTAATAAGAGAGAAATCTGAACTGAAGCTATCTTTTGGTTTAGCTTTCTATACATTGCTACTCCACTCCTCAGTTCTAGCCACAGCCAGGCCTGCAGGTAATCAAAGGAGGCAGTAAGAAATAGGTGGCATGAAGCACTACCTCTCCATCTGTTCAATCATACATCAGGCAGCAAACCAATTATTCTGATCTCCTCTGACTTAAGTGATTCCTCATTCTTTGAAAACTGCTTGACCATCTAGTATCAACCCACCTCAAGGAAATGTGCTCATTCCAGAAGCTACATCCACTCATTCATTTGTACCCTTGCTCAATTTATAACTTTTCATTGCTTATTTGCATTGAAACTGACTGTAAAGTCCCAAGTCATCATTCTTGCTAAGCTCTGAATTCATATTAGGCTTAGTCATCTTGCCTATTGGGGCTTTAATAAACTTAAAGAAGATAACCAAATGTACAACGTTCTGATTCTTATTACCGCAGTCTATGCAGATCTGTCTTGTTTTCATCAAGCTTCTCCTGTCATTGTACATGGCAAACTGGAGGGCATAGCGGAAAGACCTGCAGGTACATCAGAGCAGCAATAGCATTGCTGTAGTGAGAACAGAAGTAGAGAAAAGACATTTGTGTAACAGAACTCCATCTTTAACAAACAATCCAGGCCATGACTTTCTACTAGAAAAGCCTGGGAAACTCTAGGCCCCTGAAGAACAGCCTACGAGAGCCTTTCTTTTTTCCTTCTACCAGCAGCGTTCCCCCAAGTACTTCCCCCAATACTACCACCTGCTTGCCTCATAAAAGTAAACTTCAAGTAGCATTCTCTGTTTGCATCAATTCCTCAAGACAATATTCTGCTTGCTTCTTTCAACGTGTTTAGCTTTGATTCTATTTTCAGCTGCTCTAGATTTTGACTCAGTGATGACTTCGAACTCAGGTTTTAGCTCCTCTATCCAACCTAAGTGTTTGAAAGAAAGGTTCACTAAGATAAAGATGATTTTTAAAAGCTGATCTATCTTTTCTCTTGTAATAAAACAATTTTTCCTGGCACTTTAGAGTATGGGAAACATCATACTGTTAGATAATGACAGCATTTTATGTGCCGGCAAACTGAGAATAAGACTAAATATCACAGAATGTTTTAGCATAGATTTTCATCAAGTGACATAACTCCATTTTCCACTAAAGCTAATTGAGATTATAAATGAGATCTTGGTTTTGTAATATAATTATAATAACCAGGAGATGATGGAGTGGTGGTTTTTTGTTTATTCTATTTTGAAAACATTTCATACTAATGTAAATATAGCAGCACATGTGTCTAGAATGATTGGATGTGCCACCCAGTTCTAATGAGTATAAAATCTATTTTGGTAAAATTATATTTAGTGTAGGTTCTAAAAAACTAGGATCTTTTTTCATATGTGTGTATGAAAAGTATGACTCAATTTTCTCTATCACGATTTACAAGAAGTATCAATAGCACTTCAATTACTGATGCACCATTGATTCAGCATATTATCCCCATCAATAGTGATTTGATTACAGCAGGTAACTTGTGTCTACATACCTAGGGAACTACATAAATAGCTTCATCTGCAGAGAATGATATTCTGGTTAAACAGGTCATTATAACTTCTTTAACTTCAAATAATGCCCCCAGAAAACATTATATCATAAAAATCTGATTTAAAGAGATTTTTAAAGTTTAGTTTTTATTACTTCTAAGTTTATATCTTACTTTAAGCAATAATGTGAAAAGATATGAAATAAACAAGAAGTTATACAAAGTGAGATTTATTTATTATGTCAATACAGATCCTTGTCCTCAGAAAGTTTAAACCTAACTTTTAGTGAATAGCACAAAATATTTATATATTATCATTTATATTTTCCAGAAGAATGATTGTGGTGTGTGCAGGAAGTGATGTTAGAGAGTCCTGAGCGATGACCAAATATCTTTATCTTGGTGTATTTGCAATTATTTTCAGATTTCTGAAGGAACATGATGAGAAGCCCAATTTACCAGCGCTGGCTTTCTCATAGGTGAGCCCTCCCTGCCTCTTGACAGCACGTTCTGGGGTTTTCTGGGTGAGCTCTACACTGACCAGGTTAACATTAAAAGACTGCATGTAGGGTAACTCCTGCTTTTTCTTGGAATATTAAAACATGTCTATTTAGGTTTTATTTGGGGGCTAAGAAGTTTCTTAAAATGTGAGATTATTATAACTCTTCCCTAAAACATATAATTTCATATTAGACTTACACCCAAACATAGATTATAAAATCTTAATCTTTCTCCTGGTTTCTTAATTGAGATAAGATTGGTTTAAATTCTTAAAAAGATTAGTACTTAAAGTGATATTAGTTAATTTTTAATAGAGTAGATCCCTTACCTTTTTACAGAATATTCATGTCTTATATTAAAAAAATACTCTTAGTAGAATATTTTCTTTTAGCTTTTTTGTTTAACTTGCATATGATATTATTCATCTTAAAATAGGTTTAAAATTTATATTTCAATTTATTTTTAATTACAATTCTATCAAAAGACTTCTTCCATTTTTCAAAATGACTGCCTAATTTTATAGTTTTCTTAATGCCACCACAATTTACTGTTGTTTATCTCTTCTTTTATCCATTTAACAAAGTGCTCAAATTTATTAATTTAATTGCTGAATGATCAAATGTATGAAGTACATATCAAAGAAGCAATGATGAAGGAAAAAAGACAAAATTCCTGATTTTATAGAGATTGCAATCTATTTGTGAAGGTATGCATTAATCTAATATGTACATAAAAATGTAAAATGTTATCTCTGTTAAATGTTATAAAGAAGAATAATCTGCTTAAAATGGCTTGTTTGTTATGATTTGGTCTAATCAGTGTCTTACCTGAGGCTTACCTGAGAAGGTGTACAAGACTACTCAAGAGACTACAGCAGCGTTCCTAGAATAAATGCTGACAAAGTATGTGCACATAACAGGGTGGTGGAGAAAGAAAACAGGCATATTTATAAATATTTACATGAAATTATTGTTATCTTTTTCTTTATTATTCATCTAATAATGCATACATAAATCCTGGTAAATATTTTAGATTCTCCCATTGAGATAGTTTTCTAGAAAAGACTATTAGAAAAAACTAAGAATTCTGAATGATGAATTAAGAAGTATGGATGATTAATTTTTCTTATATTGCCCATTTTTTTCTATGAAGCTTCAGATTTATCTAGATAACATTCTAGATAATTCTAGATAACAATCTAGATAACAATGTTATCTAGATAACATTCTACCTGTTCTTATCCATTTCCAAATGAGTGGATTATAAAAAATTAAGCCAATCTGGAAGTGTATGTGTGTGGTATAGGTAAAGGAAGGTAGTAATGATATTCTTCATATAATAAATTTTTATGTGATCACTATAAATGATTCAAGTAATAGAGAGAAGCAGAATAAGAAAGGAAAACATACTCAAAATCCAATCACTCCAAATAATTGAAATTTATATTTAATAAAAGTAATTCATATATCTCTCTATGACTGCATAAAGATAAATAACATATAAATAGGCTGACAAAATGTCTTCATAAAAACTGCTAAAATATTTATAAGCTATGACTCATATTTTACTTTAATTCAAAATAAGAAAATAATAAAAAACTGCAAGAATTGCTAAGTAGATAAATATTTCATCATGTGAAATCTATTAGTTTAAATGAATCAATATGAGGGAATTGACAATTCATTATTATGATACTTATCTAATGTAGATAATGGCTGATGGGCTCTGATTTTTAATCAGACATTAAATCACTAATCTTCAGACTAATGCAAATTAAAACTACAATGAGACATTATCTTACACCAATAAGAATGGTTATTATTAAAAAGACAAAAAATAACAGACGTTGGCAAGGATGTAGAGAACAGGGAATACATACACTAAGTTACATATTGATTTTTGTACATGATGAGAGATAAAGGTCTAGTTTCATTCTTCTACATATGGCAATCCAATTTTCCCAGCACCATTTATTGAAAAGTTTGTCCTCTCCCCAGTGTATATTCTTGTCTACTCTGTCAAATATCAGTTGGCTATAAGTATGTGGCTTTATTTCTGTGTTCTCTATTCTGTCCCATTGATCTGTGTGTCTAGTTTTATGCCAGGACCATGCATTAAAGACTTGAAAGTAACACCCGAAACCATAAAAATACTAGAAGAAAACCTATGCCTAGGGAAAACTCTTTTAGACATTGGTCTAGGGAAAGAATTTATTACTAAGACCTGGAAGCACAGGTAAAAAACCAAAAATAAATGGGACTTAATTAAACTACAAAGCTTTGGCACAACAACATAAATAATCAACAAACAGACAATCTAGAGAATTGGAGAAAATATTTGCAAAGTATACATCAGACAGAGAAGTAATATCCAGAATTTACAAGGAATTCAAGCAACTCAACAATAATAACAAGAAAAACAAAATTAACCCTATTAAAAAGTGAGCTAAGGAAGTGAATAGACATTTTTCAAAAAAAGACAAATAGCGAAGAAGTATATGACAAAATATTCAACATCACTAATCATCAGAGTAATGAAAATTAAAACCACAATGATACATTATCTTGCACCAATCAGAATGGCTATTAAAACGAGAAAACATAACAGATTGGCAAGGATGTTGAGAAAAGAGAATTCTTTGTTTTACTTTTTTTTTTTTTTTTAAGAACATGTTCTGTAATACAGAAAAGAGAATTCTTATACACTGTTGGTGGGAATATAAATTAGTACAACCTATGTGGAAAACACTATAGAGATTTCTCAAACACTAAAAATAGAACTATGATACAATCCATCAATCCCATTTGGGTATTTTTCCCAGAAGAAAAGAAATATATGAACTTTAAAAGAAATTGTTCATTGAGCCTTATTATTTTGGAATACTGATATGAAGCCCAAGCTAGACTGCTGGAGGTACTTGATCCAGAAAACAGCCATCGTGAACTGCCAAATATGAAAGTGAAGCATCCTAGATTAACCATTTTCAGTGTAGCTGCCAGATGATTGTGGTCACATAAGTGACTCCAGGTAAGACTACCTGAGAAAACACCCAGCTGAGCCCACCACAAAATGTTGACCCACAGAATCATGATTAAATACAGCTCTTGTTATTTAAGCCACTAAATTTTTTTTTTTTTTTTTGAGACAGAGTCTCACTTTGTTGTCCAGGCTAGAGTGAGTGCCGTGGCGTCAGCCTAGCTCACAGCAACCTCAAACTCCTGGGCTTGAGTGATCCTTCTGCCTCAGCCTCCCGAGTAGCTGGGACTACAGGCATGTGCCACCATGCCCGGCTAATTTTTTATGTATATATCAGTTGGCCAATTAATTTCTTTCTATTTATAGTAGAGACGGGGTCTCGCTCTTGCTCAGGCTGGTTTTGAACTCCTGACCTTGAGCAATCCGCCCGCCTCGGCCTCCCAAGAGCTAGGATTACAGGCATGAGCCACAGCGCCCGGCCTAAGCCACTAAATTTTGAGGTGATTTCTTATGAATTAGTAGATACTCATAAAACAGGATACTGGGACCACACTGGTTAATCTCTCTTATACTCCACAATCTCTTCCAGTAAGATATAATGGTACTATGGGTAAATAAAACCAGCCTTGTATACTGTCAAATGTCTTAACTTATTCTTTAATGTAGTGATACAAGGTACCAACTTTACAGAGGAGGACCTTTATACCAACATGCCCTGCTGAACTAATGATCTCTAAAACATCAGCTGCATCATCATAAACCTGAAAAGAGGCATGGTGTTCATTTCTTTTTAAAAGAAAGTAACAAGGGGTGGGGTGAGGGAGAAAAATATAGAAGCTTGTCAAATGAGTTACACAGTACTAGCAATCTGAAACTTGGCTCATCCTCCAAAATGATAAATTCTGTTGACTGTCTCACTTTCTCTTAAACTATTCTTAAAAATGTGTGGAGAGAAAGACTGAGTGTAATCTCTAGCATAATTCACGAATATAGGTGGGAGAAAAGAAAGAAATTCATAGCACATGAAAGTGTTCCCTGCTGCTTCCCCAATGACAGTCTTAATTTCCCCTTTCTCCTGAGACAGAAAAACTAGTTTTACCACTGCCAGGTGATTGTATTTTATTGAAAGTATCATTGGAACTAATTGTTTTCTCTCACTGAAATTTCTGGATGTGCCAGATTCACACTTATCTAGACTCACAAAGCAGGTGTTGAGATTTTGTGGTAACAAAAGGATCTTTCTTGGGTTCATTAAAATAGGGCCTTAATTATAACAGATACTTACACTTGTGGTCTCACAAGAGTAGGACCTATTGCTCTCCCTTTTATGGGAAACGGATTAGTATTTTGGCACACTGCTTAGGAGACAAAGGCGAGGTGAGAGTTAGCCTTCTTCAGCCAGTTGAGCAGATACAAGGATTAAACTCCAAAACTCCTGAAAAATCCATAATTGGCTTTGGTTTATGTCACTCAATTAATATATGTAGAAATAAAAGGTCTTGGAAAAATTAAAGGAAATATACATTTGAGTAAGTTATCTTCTAAAAAACATTCTTAAAATTTATTTTATTTATAAGAAAAATGAATATAGACAATTAGCAATTAATGGCATCTCTAGTGATGGGAACATTGATGTTTTATTATAGCAAGTTGACACTCAAAATATGTTATCTGGATCAGGAACATCATAAAGGAAAAGGAGCAGATGAAAAATACAGCATAGATGAACTGGAAGCACACAGGCCAATGCTAGGGAGTAAACTGGTGCCTCATTACCAGTGACCCTGTGCACCTAACAGAAACCAGAAAAAATGTTTTAGAAAGAGAATAACAATTTTAGGTTTCAAATAGTTTCTACAGATAATATTTTCAAATATAATATCTGTCAAATAATAAAAATAATCAGAAATGTGTGAAAACAACATGAATGAAAAAAGAAAAATAGGTATGAATAAACTTACAAATACACTAAATACTAAATTTATCAAATATAGACAAAATAATATGTGTAAGGTGGAACATACAGGATAGAAAATAAAAGTCAAAATATAAAAAGTGATGAATATAATAAATAAGATTAATGAATAAATTGATAGGATAAAATTGAATAATAATATAGATACTAAAACATTTAAGATGATGTTAAAGCCATGTTTACAGGAAAATTTATGGTCTTAAATATGTATTTTTAAAAAAGAATAAAGGGAATATCAGCAGCTAGAAGATAGTATGTAAAAAAGTATGGAGAAGGAAGTATGAAGATAAACATGAAAAATACAGAAAATGCAGTGAATATATTCTATATGTAAAATTGGATCTTAGATGATAGTACTGGGACAGAAGCAATGTTTGAATAAATACTGCCTGAGAGTTTTCCAAAACTTACGAAATATATGAAATGAGAAATTTAAGTGTATTTGTGAACCTCAAGGGAATATTAAAAGGAATATTATCTAACTATTTAAACCTACCTAAATTTATTTAAACCTAAGGTTAAAGAAAAAGATCTTTAAAGCAATACCTCCTACAAATCCATATGGCAAAGCTGGACAGTCCAAGATAAAAATGACCAAAAGACTTGGACAAATAAGTTCTAAAAAACATTTCCTAATTGGGATAAACATGAAAAACCTTATGATCTTCACTGGTAACCAGGAAAATGGAAATTATAAAACCAGAGTCAGAACTACTTTATATGCACCAGATGTCTAAAATTTACAAAAGGATAAAAAAATATGTGGGAAAGAAAGTGGAACGACAGGAACTCTCACATGCTGGTAACAACAATGTAAACTTATATGACGACTCTACAAATCAGCTGAGCATTATCTACCGCAGTTCTCAAAGTTTGATCCTGAGATAACTGGTGGTTCTTGAGGCATTTTCTTAAGGTCTGTAAGGTAAGAATATTTTCATAATGCTAAGACTTGATTTTTTTTCACTCTCTTCATCTCATGTGTATAAGTGGAATTTCCCAGAGACTACATGAATCATAATATTTGAACAGATTGAATACATAAGCAGATGTAAGAATCCATCTGTCTTCATCAGACATGAGAGCAAGACATAAATGGGATTTTAAAAAATGTAAAACACTGTAATTGATAACAAATATGATATCAATATCACAATGTCAATATGAAATACAATAAATTTAAACCACATAAACTGAGGCTTTTTAGGTACTTCAGTAATTTTTAAGAATTATAAAGGAGCTCTGAAATGGACATCTTGATTGCTAGGTTAACTACAAATATTGAACCATTTACTTAAGAGCAATGTATACACAAGTGCACTGAGAGATGTTTTATTAGTAGCCAGAATATGTATATGTGTAATTGCCATCAAGAGGTAAATGAATAAATAAATAGCAGAATATTCATAAAATACTACAAAGATAAGCAGACTATAGATTCAGGCAACAACACAGATGAATCACAAAAAAATGAGTGAAAAACTTGGACTTAAAATAATATTTACACTATGATTCTAGTTGTATAGAATTCAAAACCATTCCAAATTAAATGACTGTATTTAGGAATTAAAACTTTAATGAAAAAAAAAACTACAAAGTAAAGTGAGGAAAAGATCATTGTAAAAAATAAAAATGTGTTAGCAAATTTTGTGGGATAAGAGGTGACTATTGGAAAGGGACACAAACAGGGCTTGGAGGTGTTTCTAATGTTCCATTTGTTGACTTGGGTAGCTTGTACAGACATTTTGTTTGTGACAAATCACCAAAATATACATTTCTGTACAGGTAAAACATTACTGAAGAGTCTATCTATATTACTGAAGAGTCAATTTAAAATGTTGAAAGTTAAATAATAAAATTTGATCAAATTAAAAAGTTTCTGCACAGCCAAGGAAACTATCATTAGAGCAAATAGACAACCCACAGAGTGGGAGAAAATATTCGCTCTCCACACTTGTGATAAAGGTCTAATAACAAGAATCTATCTAGAACTTAACAGAATAAACAAGAAAAAATAAAACAACCCCATCAAAAAATAGGCAATGGAAATGAACCGAAACTTCTCCAAAGAAGACAGAATAATGGCCTGAAAACATATAAAAAATGCTCTACATCTCTAATCATCAGAGAAATGCAAATCAAAACCACAATGAGATACCACCTAACCCCACTGAGAATGGCCTGTATCAAGAAATCCCAAAACAACAAATGCTGGCAAGGATGTGGAGAGACAGGAACACTCTTACACTGCTGGTGGGACTGCAAATTAGTGCAACCTTTGTGGAAAAGAATTTGGAGATTCCTCAAGCAGCTAGAAATAGAAATGCCATTCGACCCAGCAATAGCACTGTTGGGCATCTACCCCAAAGAACATAAGACATTCTATTATAAAGACATCTGCACCTGAATGTTTATGGCAGCACAATTCACTATTGCACAGTCATGGAAACAACCCAAGTGCCCAACAATTCATGAGTGAATAACTAAAATTTGGTATATGCTCACAAAGGAATATTACTCAATTCTAAGAAATGACAGTGAGCTAACACCATTTATGTTATCCTGGATTAAGCTTAAGCCTGTTATCCAAAGTGAGGTGACACAAGATCAGGAAAATGCACTCCACATGTACCTGCCACCAAATTGGTACTGATTGATTAAAACTATGGTGCTCAAATGGTGGTAGTGTTCACCAGGGATTCAGGGGAGGGGTAGACCCACCTCTCAGGGATGTGGCGAGCATTGGGGGGGGGAAAGGGATTACTTCTAACTGTTTTTAGGGAGAGGCAAAGATATACAATGTAACCAAAATGTCTAAAAAAAACCCTGTTATTGCGAGGTGGGCAGGTGTGGGAGGGGGAGGAAGGGAAGGGTGTATACTTACATAATGGATGCAGTGTGCACCACCTGGGGGTGCACGCTTGAAGCTCTGGCATGGTGGAGTGGGGGAGGAGTGGCAGGGGCAATATATGTAACCCTAACAATATTTGTACCCCTATAATATGAGGAGATAAAAGGAAAAATTATTTAGAAAATAATAATAAATTTTAAAAGAAACAAAAAGTTGTATGTTATACTATCAGAACCAAAACAATTTTCATTGCTATTGCTGTTTTGATACTTAGAAAAACATTAGAAATTTGACGTATAGTCATGCACTGCATAATGGCATTTCACTTAATGACAGGCCATATATATGACGGTGGTCCTATGAGATTATAATGGAGCTGAAAAATTCCTATTGCTTAGTGATATCCTAGCCATCATAACATAGTAGCACAAGTCAGTACCTTTTCAATGTTTAGATACAAAATAAAAAGATTAATGAAACAAATAGTTGGTTCTTTTAAAAGATAAAATTGACAGACCTCTTTCTAGATTAAGCAGGAATAGATGACAAAGGACCCAAATAAGCTCAATCAGAAATGAAAAAGGAGATATTAATACCGATACCACAGAAATATGAAACATCATCTGTGAATACTATGAAAATCTCTACACATATAAAGTCGAAAATATAGAGGAGATGTACAAATTCCTGGAAATACAGAACTTCCCAAGACTCAATCAGGAAGAAACAGAAATCCAGAAGAGACCAATAACAAGCAGTGAGATAAAAGCAGTAATAAAAAAAGTTTCAACAACAAAAACAAAAAAAACCTGGACCAGATGGATTCACAGCTGAATTCTACCAAACCTATTAATACAAAGAAGAGCTTATACCTATATTATAGAAATTATTCCATAACATCAAGAAGAAGGTAATTTTCCAAGACTCATTTTATGAAGTCAGTATCACCTTGATACCAAAGACAGGAAATGATACAACAAAAAAGGAAAACTACAGACCAATATCCTTTATGACTGTAGATGCAAAAACCTTCAATAAAATACTAGCAAAATTAATTCAACAGTACACCAAAAAAAAAAAAAAATCAACCATGACCAAGTGCGCTTCATCCCAGGCATGTAAAGGTGGTTCAACATATGTAAATCATTAAATGTGATTCACCACATAAACAGAAGCAAAAACAAAGACCATATGATCATCTCAATAGATGCAGAAAAAGCATTTGACAAAAATCCAACACACTTTCATGATAAAAACCCTCAACAAACTAGTCATAGAAGGAACATATCTCAAAATAATAAAAGCTATATATGAGAAATTTCATATATGAGAGCAGTCAACATCATGCTGAATGGGGAGCATTGAAAACATTCCCCTAAAGAACTGGAACAAGAAGAGTGCCCACTGTCACCACTTTTATTCAACATAGTGCTGGAAGTCCTAGCCAGAGCAATCAGGCAAAGAAGGAAATGAAATGTTTCCAAATCAGAAAAGAGGAGGTCAAGTAATCACTTTTCACTGACAATATGATTTTGTATTTAGAAAATTCTAAATACTCCACAAAGAGACTCATAAAACTGATAAATAAATTCAGCAAAGCCTCCAGTTACAAAATCAATGTACACAAATCAGTAATATTTCTGTAAACCAATAATAGTCAAGCTGAGAGTCAAATAAAAGACTCAATACTATTCACAATTGCTACAAAGAAAATAAAATACTTAGGAATATACTTATCATCCAAGAAGGTGAAAGATCTCTACAAGGAGAATTATGAAACACTGAGGAATGAAATCACAAATGACACAAACAAATAGAAAAATTTACCATTCTCATAGACTGGTAGAATCAACATTGTTAAAATGTCCATACTACCCAGAGTGATTTACAAATTCAATGCAATTTCTATCAAAATACCACCATCATACTTCACAGATCTAGAAAAAATAATTCTATGTTTGGAACCAGAAAAGAGCCTGAATAGCCAAATAATCTTAAGCAAAAAGAACAAATCTGGAGGCATCACATTACCAGACTTCAAACTATACTATAAGGCTATAGTAACCAAGACAGCATGGTAGTATTGATGCAAACATGAGACATAGACCAATGGAACAGAATGGAGAACCCAGATATAAAACCATAAACTGACAGCCACCTTATTTTTGGCAAAGCACACAACAATGCACAGAGGGGGAACGAATCCCTATTAACCACTTTGGTAGGTGCTCACTGGCTGCAAAACCTTGCTCACAGCTGGCATTCAGTCTGCATGATAGTTTGTGCTGTGCATTGATGACGAATCTGATTTGCTCTTATGTGATGAGGAAAGCTTTAAAGCATTGAAAGCTTGTTTTATTTTACAGGCAGCTTTACTTGTAAAGTAAATCAGAATAGGTAACATATACATATATGTTTTTATTATGTTATTTGTAAATGTTCACAATTTTATTTTGATAAATGAAAAATTAGAAAAGTCAATTCAAAATTATAGACTAAAGTCGATGCTCGGCTGTGCACCTTCATATCACGGTTGTCAGCTACAGTCGACGCTCGGCTGTGTGCTTTCATCTGTGGCTACCAACTATAGTCAACACTCGTATTGAAGTGATTAAATAAATGGTGCTAGGAAAACTGGATGGCCACATATAGAAGAATGAAATGGGATTCTTATCTCTCACCCCTCACAAAAATTAATTGAAGACTGATGAAAGACTTAAATGTAAGGCATGAACCCATAAGAATTCTAGATGAAAATACAGGATAAACTCTTCTAGATATTGCCATAGGCAAAGAATTTATGATTAAGACCTCAATTTCAATTACAGCAACATCAATAATAAGTAAATGGGATTGATTAAATTAAATAGCTTCTGCAGAGCTAAGAAAATAATCAACAAAGCAAACAGACATCCTACAAAAAGGGAGAAAATATTCCCAAAGTATACATTTGATAAAGAGCTAGCATTTGGAATTGGCAAAGAACTCAAGCAAATCAGCAAGAAAAAAACAATCCATTAAAAAGTGGGCAAAAGACATGAACAAAAGCTTTTCAAAAGAAGATAGATAAATGGCCAACAAACATATGAAAAAATGCTCAATGTCACTAATTATTAGGGAAATGTAAATTAAAACCACAGTGAGATAGCACCTTACCCCTGTTAGAATGGATTTTATTAAAAAGTCAAAAAGCAAGATGCTGACATAGATGCAGAGAGAAAGGAATGCTTATACACTGTTGGTAGGACTGAAAATTAGTATAAATTCTTTGAAAAACAGTATGGAGATTCTGCAAAGAACTAAAAGTAGACCTGCCAATTCAATCCAGCAATCCCACTAGAGGGTATCTATCCAAAAGAAAAGAAGTCATTTTATCAAAAAGACACCAGTCAAATGTTTATTGCAGCACAATTCACAACTGCAAAGATGTAGACTCAACCCAAATGTCCATCAATTCTTGAATGGATTAAGAAAATGTGGTATATGTATACCATGCAGTACTATTCACCCATGAAAAAAGATGAATTAAGGCCTTTTGTAAGGATTTGGATGGAACTGGAGACCATTATCTAAAGCAAAATATCTCAAGAATGGGAAAAAAAACCACCACATGTACTCTCTGTGAAATTGGAACTAACTGATGGGCACAGGTGTGCATAAAGGGAAATAAAGCTCATTGGAAATCAAGTAGAAAGAGGTGGTAGGAGGGGAGGGGCAAAAACCTACCTAACAGGTACAATGAACACTATTCGGGTGATGGGCACACTTATAACCATAATTCAAGCATTACAAAGTGATCCATGTAATGAAAACACTTGTACCTGCATAATATGTTTCTTGACAGTTTAATTATGCTGAATTCATCAGTATTTCTCACCATATAAATTGTTCATTTTTTACTACTATGTGAAATGTAAATAATATCTTTACAATGAGATTATAGAGGACAAAAACCATTTCAGTCATTTTATTTCACTTTGTATTGTTGAGTAGAAGTCCAATTTTTAAATTATTTTTTGGCACAAGTATATCACATATCAGGTTACTATCATGTATTTTTACTTCTTTTTCTTGTTTGAAATTGGTTGTGTGTTTTTCAAATATTAACATTTTGAATAGGGTGAATGTTTTCATTATTTGTAGTTCAAAAGATAATTGTAACTTTTTTGTAATTAAAAAAAGGTAAAGCAATTTGAAACTTTAAAACTCACCTGCTATCTTTTAAGGCCTTCCATGATCGGGATCTATACTGTTTATGAAGGATATTTTCCACTCTTTTCAACAAGCACCATCCACACAAGTCAGTGTTATTTTTAAAAGGCTTCCATACTTGCAATCTTCATTATTTTGTCCTGAATTCTGTCATATTGTTTCTCTTGTTCAGAATTTTCTTCATTCCCAAAATAATGGATGTGGTATAGATTTTCAAGTAGTATGTGATGCTTTAAAGAAAAGTTATTCAGTAAAAATAGTTTTATTTAATTTCATTATAGTTGATATAATTTTATTACATATGACATCATGAAAATAGGATGTATGAATTATATAAACAATGGAAATGGAAGAGTAGTACATAAATGTATTATTTTGATAGAAATGACTGTGACTTTTTTTTTAATTTCAGAATATTATGGGGTAGAAACATTTTGGCTACATACAATGCCTTTGCCTCACCCAAGCCAGAACTACAAATGTGCCCATCCACCATACAATATGCTACACATCCATTAGTTGTGAGTTTACACATCCCTACCATCCTCCATCTCCCCACCCACACCTGATGAATATTATTTCCATGTGAGCACCTAAGTGTTGATTAGTAGTACCAATTTGATGGTGAGTACATGTGGTGCTTGTTTTTCCATTCTTGTCATACTTCACTTCGAAGAATGGGCTCTAGCTTCACCCAGGATAACATAAGAGGTGCTAGTTCTATATTGTTTTTTTATGGTTGAGTAGTAGTTCATGGTGTGTGTGTGTGTGTGTATCACATTTTATTAATCCACTCATGTATTGATGGGCACTTGGGTTGTTTCCACATCTTTGCAATTGTGAATTGTGGTGCTATAAATATTTGAGTGCAGATGTCTTTATTGTAAAATCTATTTTTCCTTTGGGTAGATCCCTGGTAGTGGGATTACTGGATCAAATGCTATTTCCATCTTTAGTTCTTTGAGATATCTCCAAATTACTTTTCACAGAGGTTTACTAATTTGCTATCCCACCAGCAGTGTAAGAGTGTTCCTATCTCTCTGCATCAACCAGCATTTGTTGTTTTGGGGATTTTTGATAAAAGCCATTCTCATTGGAGTTAAGTGATATCTCATTGTGTTTTGATTTGCATTTCCGTGATGATTAGAGATTTTGAGTACTTTTTAAAATGTTTGCTGGCTATTATTCTGTCTTCTTTTGAAAATTTTCTGTTCATGCCTTTTGCCCACTTTTTAATGGGGTTGCTTTTTTCTTGTTAATTTTCTGAAGTTCTCTATAGATTCTTGTTATCAGCACTTTATTGGATGTGTCCATACTACCTAGTGATCTACAGAATTAATGCAATCCCTATCAAAATATATCACCATCATACTTTGCAGATCTAGAAAAATTAATTCTATGCATCGTATGGAACCAGAGAAGACCTCATATAGCCAAAGCAATCTTAAGCAAAAAGAATAAATTGGGAGGCATCACTCTACCAGACTTCAAGCTTTACTACAAGGCTATAGTAACCAAAAAGTGTGGTACTAGCCCAAGAACAGAGATATAGACCTTTGGAACAGGAATGAGAACCCAGATATAAAACCATCCTCATATTGTCATCTAATCTTTGAAAAGGCAGACAAAAGTATACATTGGAGAAAAGAATCTCTATTCAATAAGTGGTGCTGGGAAAATTATATAACCACATGTAGAAGATTGAAACTGTATTCACACCTCTGACCTCTCACAAAAATCAACTCACGATGGATAACAGACTTAAACCTAAGGCATGAAACCTTGAGACTTTTAGAAGAAAATGTTGGGAAAACTCTTACAGACAACAACCTAGGCAAAGAATTTACGAAGGAGATGCCCAAAGCAGTCACAGCAGCAACAAAAATTAATAAATGGGACTTGATCAAATTAAAAAACTTCTGCATAGCCCAGGAAACAACCTACAGAATGGGAGAAAATATTCTCATGCTACGCATCCAATAGAAATGATACTGTGACATTCTTAACTTAGAACAGTATAACTATAGGATAATAATTCTCCAACATTAGCTAGCACCAGAATCACCCAGAGTATTTATTAGAATAGATTTCTGGACTTGAACCCCGCAGTTTCTGATTCAGCAGGTCTGCAGTGGGGCCCAAGAATTTTCATATCTATTAAATTCCCAGGTAATGCCCATGCCACTAATCTAGAGACCGCACTTTGATAAGGATTGATAGAGACATTCAAAAAGTTCAAATCCACTGGAATTTTTCTATTTTGGCATACATAAAATGCATATGCTTAATATGCCTATGGTTCTTCAAAACATCAGTTAGTTTTAAATGAGAAGCCAATTTATGAACTGTAAAAAACAAAGAATTAAGAGAGAAATTATTGTCATGCAGGAAATTACAGCAAGTCCATTTTAGGCAGAAGACTCATTTATGCTGATGAAAACCAAGATTGATTCATAAAACATTGATTCCAATAATATTTTTTACAACATTATTTGTTACAGAGAAAAACTAGAAACAAATAAAGCGCTCATTTAACACAAGCTTAGTGTTACTGTAGTTCCAAATATAAAGGATTTAAAAAGAATGAGGTTGATTTGGATGTGCAGACATGGAAATATTTTCAAGATATATTATTATACTTATAAAAATTGAAAGTGCAGAAAAATGCATGATTTCTTAAAGTAAATAATAACAAATATATATTTTATATTTAATTATATATATTTACACTGACATATTTACACGTTTATCATAGCATATAATTATATATGTATATATAAATATACATATATGTGACTTTCAGCACAGTATACATATTGCACTAAGCATGTTATCTGCTAAAGCTATACAAAAACTATTAAAACTAGTTAAGTTTTGGAGATCAAGAAGGAAAGCATCCTCCCTAACTCATTATATAAAGCCAGTATCACCCTAATACCAAAGACAGGAAAGGATATAAGCAAAAAAGAAACCTACAGGGCTACAGACTAATATTCCTAATGAAGCCAGATGCAAAAATCTTCAACACAATACTAGCAAACCAAATCAAACAGCACTTCACCACGATGAAGTGAATTTCATCCCAGGGATGCAAGGATGATTCAACATATACAGGTCAATAAATGTGATTCACCACATAAACAGAATTTTTAAAAATCATATAATGATTTAAATAGATTCAGAAAAAGCATTTGATAAAATCCAGCATCCCTTCATCATAAAAACCCTCAACAAATTAGGAATCGAAGGAATATATGTCAAAATAATAAAAGCCATATATGACAAATCCACAATCAACATCAAACTGAATGGGTTTGCTAAGAACTGGAATAAGACAAGGATGTCCATTTTCATCATTTTTATTCAATATAGTACTAGAATTCCTAGCCAGAGCAATCATGTAAGAGAAAGAAATAAAATGATTCTAAGTGAGAAAAGAGGAAGTCAAACTATCTCTGTTTGTTGATGAAAAGATCTTATACCTAGAAAACCCTAAAGACTCCTCCAAAAGACTCCTAGATTTGATAAATGAATTCAGTAAAGTCTCAGGTTACTAAATCAATGTTCTTAAATCAGTAGCATTTCTATACACCAATAATGACCAAGCTGAGAATCAAAGCAAGAACTCAATCCCATTTATAATAGCTGCAAAAATAAATAAATGAAACACCTAGGAATATATTTAACCAAGGAGGTAAAAGATCTCTGTCAGGAAAACTACAAAACACTACCCTTGCTAGGGAGAGGCAAAGATATAAAATGTAACCAAAATGTTTGTACTCTCATAATTTCCTGAAATAAAAAAACACTGATAAAAGAAATCATAGATGATGCAAACAAATGGAAAAACATCTCATGCTCATAGTTTGTAAGAATCAATATTGTTAAAATGACCACACTGCCCAAAACAAGCTACAGAGTCAATGCAATTCCTATCAAAATACCAATGTCATTTTTCACAGAATTAGAAAAAACAATCCTAAAATTCATATGGAATGAAAAAAGAATCCAAATAGTCAAAGTAATCCTAGGCAAAAACAATAAGTCTAGAGGTATCAAATTACCTGACTTCAAATTATACTACAGTCTATAGTAACCAAAACAGCATGATTCTGCCATAAAGTAGACACATAGGTCAGTGTCTCAGAAATAGAGAACTCAGAAATAAAGCCATACACCTACAACCAACTGATCTTTGACAAAGAAGACGAAAACATACACTTGGGAAAAATGCTGGGAAGACTGGATAGCCACATGCAGAAGAATGAAACTGGATCCCTATCTCTCACCAAACACAAAAATTAACTCAAGGTGATGGATTAAATACTTAAATGTAAGACCTGACATAATAAACATTCTACCAGAAACCCTAGGAAAAACTCTTCTGGACACTGGCCCAGGCAAAGAATTTATGACTAAGACATGAAAAGCAAACGCAACAAAACAAAAATAAACCAATGTGACTTAATTAAAAGAAAAAGTTCCTGCACAGCAAAAAAAAAAATTATGAACAGAGTAAACTGACAACCTATAGAACTGGAGAAAATATTCACAAACTATACATCTGAGAAAGAATTAGTATCTAAAATCTACAAGCAACTAAAAATCAGCATAAAAAATTAATAACCCCATTAAAAGTGGGCAAATGGCATGAACAGACATTTTTCAGAATAAGATAAACAAATGGCCAAAAACTTATGAAAAAAATGCTTGACATCACTAATCATCAGAGAAATGCAAATTAAAAACACAATGGGATACCGTCTTACCCCTGTCAAAATGGCCATTATTAAAAAGCCAAAAAACAACAGATGTTGGCACGGATGTGGTGGAAAAGGAATGCATATATACTGTTGATGGGAATGGAAATTGGTACAACCTCTATGAAAAACTATATGGAGATTCCTCAAAAAACTAAAAGTAGACCTACCATTCAATCCAGCAATCCCATTACTGGGGTTCTACCCAAAAGAAAATAAGTCATTATATCGAAAAGACACATACACATGTATGTTTATTGCAGCACAATTCACAATTGCAAAGATATGGATCCACCTATTGATGAATACATTACGAAAATGTGGTATGTATATAGATGTACACACACACACACATACAAACACATACTCATACATACATACATATCATGGAATACTTACTACTCAGCCATAAGCAAGAATGAAATAATGTCTTTTGCTGCAACTTGGATGGAAGTAGAGGCCATTATCTC